CGGAGCAAACGGTGATCTGACCCAGGCTGGAGCTTGCCGACGACTGACGATACAGCGCCCCGGGAGAGACCGGCTCGGCCCAGGTCTGCAGAGCCGCCCTGGCCTTATCAGCCCTCCCCGAGATGCACTCGCCAGCCATCGAACTAGCCTCAGAACAGGGGTGCCTAGCTAAACTAATAGGGCTCGTCCACGCTGGGCGCATAAGGCGCGAAAATATAAAAGGGAGGGGACCTCGCGTCGTGCTCCACGACAGCGCCTTGACGGCATCGCGCCGCCTGGCTTCGTGTCTGCTCTCCTGTGGACTTGCCTCTTCTTGGTCTACCCCTTATTGACCCCTGCTCGGTGTTCCCCTTGGTCTAGCTCTTCGTCTACCTTCTTGATCTAGATTGACCTGCCTCTCGACCCGTCTCCTGACGTGCCTGTCGACCTGCTTCTTGACCTATCTCTTAACCTATGCCTTTTGGTCTGCTTTTCATATTTTGATGTTGCATCTAGAAAAACCTGACACAATTTTAATGCGCCAAAATTTTAGCAATTTAGTAGACGCTCTGGAAACTCGGGTGTGAGACAGTCTCACACCAAATGGTGTGAGGCAAAATACCTCACACCAAACGGTGTGAGGCATACATACCTCACACCAAATGGTGTGAGACCCTCTGTGCCTCACACCATTTGGTATGAGGAAGTATCACTCCATTTGCTGTGAGGCACAACGAGTCTCACACCATTTGGTGTGAGACTGTCTCACACCGGAGTTTCCAGAGCGACGGCGTTTCTAGGGTAGTAGAAATGGAAGCAAGCACTAAAAGGCACTTCTGGTTCTGGAGAGATACTCAAGTGCCCCACAGGTACTAAAGTTTTGTGTCTTTGGACACTTTTGTGTCGATATAAATGCACTAAAATTCAGCACCTTTATCTTTAAAAGTAGCTTAGTCCTTCATCGTTGTTTTCCTACACACTGATCAACTGAGTGTGAAGAAAAAAGCGGTACAGCTCGAACTCGACGCGTTCAAACATTTAAATAAATATCTCTGAGCGCGAGGCAGAATGTGGCGACGATTACGATGTTGATGAAAGGTTTGGATTCGGGATGTCGAATTGCGTCGCGGATTCCATGACAGCGCCAAGCAGCAGCAGCAGGTTTCCGCAGAGAAGCGGTTGCTAACTTAATATTGGCTTAACCGTTTTATCGCCAGCGGCAGTGTACTTTTACTCCAATTACCCCTTCCTGGACGACGGACCTCGCTGCGCCACCACCGCTTTGCGTCCATTGAAATGCAAAAGGATGCCAACAACCACCCGGACAGTGGCGGGGTGTGGTGGGTCGGGGCGGGGGGCAGCACAGCCTGGCGTCAAGCAGTGGGAGCAGCGCTGACCAGTGGAGCCGTCCTTCTCGGCCGGCAATGCAGTGCAGGGCTTGGCGGGGCGTGGTGGGGCGTGGTGGGTGTGGCGCGGCGTGGCGATGCGTGCTGGCGACTCTCGGGGCCCTGTGGAACTTGTTCCGCTAGGCTGGTGGGCCTGGTTAGGGCGCCCTGCGCTGCCCTGCCGGGGTGCTGCCCGCACGTCCGTTCTGACTGGTGCCGGGCGCCGCGCTCCCTCACACTACACCGTTTCCAACTTTCTTGCGAATTCCAGAATGACCGCCTGCAGTCGCTGCTACTCTGATATCTGAAGTAAATGTGCACTGCTTCCAGCGTTTATCTGCCAAGTAATAATTTAGCACCTGCTTACCCTTCCTATCGAATACTTGCGTGTCTTTTTATGCAAATTTGAATACCTGTCAATGTCGGTTGTTAAACTTGAAAGTGAACCCGAGTGAACCAGATTCCGAGTGTTGAAACCTGTCAGTCACACGAGAGCCCTTTTAAGTGTTTCATTTAATCAGCAAGAAAGGTTTTTAAGCAGGTAATACTACTGAGTCAAAACAATAATAAAAAAAAATATCAGCTGAGATGTTGCATATGCTCCAGCATATGCTTGTTAATGTCGTCAGTGTGCCTTTGCCTTTGCTAGGGCGTAGGATGTCGCAAGTTGCAGGCAGGTGAACCACAAAAAGAAAGCACTCTTGACTCTTGCAGTGTGTTTATTGATAATTGAATGTTTTATTGCTTATAAGCAATGAAATTTCAGTACACATTGTCAGTGACTTCTCACCCATTTATTAGCACTAAACCTGGCCAACGTTTCTATTCTACACAGGACTGAAACTTAAGAATTTGGAAAAAAAAAACAGCTATTATTTCAAGTTTAAAATAGAGATGCGCATTAAATCAAAAGAACGCTCTCCAAAGCAATTTAAGTTAGATCATTGCGGTTCTTTTAAGGTTTAGTAAGCCTTTAGTTAAACGTTACTGTGTGCGCAAGAAGCTTTTTAAAATTTCATAAAGTTATGAAATTTTAAAAAGCTTCTTCGCACACAGTCACGTTCAAACACAGACATACTATACCTTAAAAGAACCGCAATGAACTAACTTAAATTGCTTTGGAAAGCGTTTTATTGATTTAATTCGCATTTAGATTTTAAATTTGAAATACCTGTTTTATGGCAGTTTCAGTCCTGTGTCACCTTAAGAAACCTAACCTGTAGGGGAGGTCACTGTCTTTTTCTCAGTCGTATATGGGCGTCTTTCTGGCCGCATCACTAATGAAATAAACCATATATTTATACATTTATACGCGCCGGTAGCGCGGCGGGGTATGACGTCACGCGCCTGACCTGTTTGTTTTGCTTTTTGCAGGGGAGTGCCGGTCCGCCCTGGGCGAGGGGGACGGGGAGGAGGCCGTGTCCCTCCAGGCCCTGCAGGCCCAGAGCCCTCCCCGCGCCGCGCAGCCCCGCGCCGCCCCGCCGCGCGCGCAGCCCGCCAAACAACCTCGGCGGAACAACCGACCGCGCCGCCGCCAAGGTAAGTCGAGTCGGAGAGAGAGAGAGAGAGAGAGAGAGAGAGAGAGAGAGAGAGAAGAGGGGGGCGGGGCGGGGACGGGCGGGGCATCTGTTTGCGCGGCTGGACTCAGTGGAGAAGCAACCAGCTCATATATGCCGAACCTGGAAATACTCATTTCCCCGGCATATTTTTTAACTTTAATTTTATCAATGACATTTAATTAACAACCAGTCAACGTGGTTGGTGCGAAGTGCGTACTAAACTATAGCACACCATGATGCTCTGAAATGGTACTTAAAATAATTGATAGGTTTTAGTCAACACGAATCTTTGATAGCCACCATCATCATAGCATCAAAATTTTACTGTTGCTGTCACCCAAAGTGTTGTGCTTGTATCGGCTTGTAACTAAAAACTTGTGCCTGACGCCTGACGCTGATCTAACAGATTTTTTAAGGCTCTGCGACGAAATATGTTTCTCAGTGTACTGCACGACTGAATCCTCGATACCCAAGCCAAATAATACAATTCAAACATGGAGGTGAAACTTTTAAAACCTGCTCGTCAAACCTAAGAGGGTTGAACTAAACTACATTTTGCAACAATTTCACCCCTTCTTGCAGTTTTTGACGACACCAACGGTCGCCATCCGCACGGCACACACCTCTGGTCAAAGCGCCCACTTTGGAGGGCGAAGCAAGTAGGAGGGCCGCCGTTTGGTCGCCCTCTCTCCAGAAAACGACGGAAAAACGTAAAAACTGCAGTGCTTTTGATTAAAACGGTGCGGGCTGCTGCTCCGATGCGTCGGCCGTGCCCCGCCCGTCTCCAGAGCTGAGCTGGCCGGTCCGCGTGCCGGGCGAGCCTAGCCCCGCCGCTTCGGCTCGGCCGGGCGGAGCACCGCTTATATTTTACGGCGTTGTAAACCCACCAAACATTGCACATAACATCGCGGAGCAGCGCGTAGCAGGGCGCGGCGGCGGGGCGTGGCGTGACGCGTTGGGATGCGGGTGAACGCGCGCGCGCGCACCAGAACGCTTCGGAAACAACAACACTAGCAGAGATGGACGTTAACGACTATTTGCAGCAGTGAACTACGTTTCGGCCTAGAGGGCTTTGCTGAGATTGTGCTGTGTTGTGCGTGCGTGCGCGCGTGTGCATGTGTGTGTGCATGTGCATGTGTGTGTGTGTGTGTGTGTGTGTGTGTGTGTGTGTGACTGTGTGTTGGACGTGACTTGCACCAGTTCATTCTCATTCAGCACTCTCTTGAAGAGGACCCAGCAGCAGCCCTGACCCTCCTCAAGGCCTGACCCTGACCCTCCTTCTACTACTACTGCTGCTATAGCCATAGCCCATACGAGAGTATAACCGTTTGTGTCCATACAATACACAAACTATAAGCGGTAGGCTCAGCGGTAGGTAGAAAATCATTCACAAAATCGGCGTTTGCAGAAAATACGTCTCGTGTCGTGTGTTACGCCTGCTTCGATAGTTTACCGTTTTGTGGGAGACGTAACGGTGGTGCGTACCCATAGCTATCTGGCACACGTTTCTCTGGAAACGTATTTATAGGAAAGTAGTTGTTCGTGAACATACGCGCGGCGGTATATGTGCGTGCGCGGCGTGGGTGGGCGCGGTATATCCGCGGGCGATGTGGAGTCGCAGAGTGAGCCTCCACTGGAGGGTGGCGGGCCTGTTAGCAGACTTCTTCTTCTTCTTCTTCTTCTTCTTCTTCTTCTTCTTCTTCTTCTTCTTCTTCTTCTTCTTCTCCTCCTCCTCCTTCTTCTCGAGTCCCTTTCCCCTTTTACCTGGCGTTCTCTCCGTCAATCTCTGATGTCACATACGGCGGCGCGCAATCGAACCCCTGTGCGCGCGTGTGGAGGGGCGGAAAGTTTGTGTGGGGCCGAGGCTGCCGAGGCAAGGGCGCGCGGCGCGCGCGTCGCGGGCGGATGGGACGCCATCGCATCGGACTGCTTGTAATGATCCCCAAACTGGGTCCTGGGACCCGGGAGGCAGGCTGGGCCGTGCTGCGCCCCTCTGGACCGTGATGTGTGCTACACTGTCGGTGACGACCCACGCTGCACGCTGCCGTTGCGGTGCATATGGATGAGCCACGGAGATGATGATGGCGCGCCGCATATGTCCGGCCGATACAACAATGATATGCTGCAACGCCAGGCGGAAACATTCAACGGTAGGACTGTGACACGTGTGTCACTGACTGTCTCGCTGTTGCAATGAGTACGATTATTTGCGGTGTCCTGCACTGCTGTCGGCGCACTCGTACAATGGGTCGTACAGCACGGGGGACGCACGCATCAAGACTGTGGGACATTTGTATGCCGCTGCATATTGAAGGAGTAGGAGAACGGTTGTGAACAAGTAGCTCAACGCGCTCGCCCAGCAGGCGATGTATTAAACGACTGTTCGCTAGATTGAGCCCGATTGAGCCGCTGCCACTCACTGACATCAATACTGCTGCGTTGAGCAGAGAAAGTGTTTCTACAGCTTGTGCGTATGATAGAAACATTTCCTCGAGTTTGATTTTCAACTGAACAAATACTTCCAGCAAAGAAAGGAATTTCTAATGTTATTCCATTGTGGCACTTAGTACTCTTTACAATAAAATTTGGAATCTCTCGCAAAGTGCAGCAAGGCCTGTAAGTCCTTGGGGCCCCTCTCAGAGGAAATGCTTTTTCCTCGTGGCCGGTCGCGGCCGGGAGGCTGCCTCGCAGGCTGCTGCTGCAACTCCAGAAGAGCCTCCTCCCGCCCGCTTCTCCCTTCTCCCGGGCTAATCCGAGAAATGAAAGAGCCGTCACTTTGGTAATGATGCAGCGCTGGTTCTGAATCCTCCGCTCCGCTCCCCCCCCCCCCCCCCCCCCCCCCCCCCCCCCCCCCCCCCCCCCCCCCCCGCCTTTCTCGTTTCACTTGCGGGTCGCCGCACAACTCGACTCACGGTTTCTCTTCCTGCTTGTGGTGCTTTTCCGCTTTTCTCCGATCTATTGTCGTTTCGAACGCGATCCGCTCTGGGTCTTCTTGTATTTCGCGCTCGCGCTGCTCCTGGTGTGTCGGTTCCAACTCGATAAGGTCACTCACTTCGCTTATGGGGTGTACTCAAGTAATTGCACTTTCGTATATACTATAAATGATTTATGAACATTTTTGGTACACACTGGAACGCACTGGAATAATAAAGGTAATTCACACCATTACAAGTTTTTGACGTTTTCGTGCCTTTACAAGGGTATTAAACCCGAAATTAAACGTTCCTGATTCAGTTGACTTTGATTTTTTTCCCAGTGTGCTGAAGGTGAAGAAGGGTAAGGCAGAGTGTGTGTGTTGTGGGAGGGGGTCTAAGTGAGTGTAGACGGGGAATGAGCAATGCGGGCAGACTTGACAGACGCAGCTCGCGCCTCCCCCCTCCCCTCTCTCCCTGCTCGCGCGCACGCACCGCCGGCGTGCCGTAGACGTACGTGCCCGGCCCAAATTGGGCCACCCCGGTCCCTCCCCACCGCGCCCCGGCCTGCCCCGGCCCGCCCGGGCCCTTGTGCATTTGCCCACAGTGGGTATTAGGTTCGTCCTTGTGCGCCTCGGGGCGCGCAGAGGAGACGAGTCAATCCTCTCTCACCGCAAGGCTGGCCCTGGCAATGTCGCACACTTCTACGAGAGTGTGTGTAAGTTTATTCGCACATTTTGACGTCCGTAAAGAAGCAATGCATCTGCCTGCAGCACTGTAGCTTACCGCCATTTTAACCGCAAGCTTCAAGGAATGAATGTCAGAATCAGGGTGCATCTCCGTGATATTCACCGGATGCTGTGAAAATTGATCGCAAGCGACGGTGCTGCAGGGTGGACTGCGCCTTACGGTGGAGATCACCGTAGGCTTTGATTAGTGTGGTGTGCGTGTCCCTTGGAATTTTGCATTTCGCTCCTACCATAGTGTGTGACATTCACGTACAATCTAGGTTTGCTGTGTGTCAGTGCTCGCGCACGACACTTCTTTTTTTTTCTCCGAACAAAAAGAACAACAATAACCTCGTTTCTTACTTCGTTGATGAGAGGAAGAAGCTGTCTCCTTTTGCCGCACGGTTGGGCGATCCACTGTCAGCGCGCCCATAAACTGGCCGAGTGGGTGTGTGTGGAAGTGAGTGAGAAAGAGTGGAGAGAATAAATAAAGAGAGAGAAAGAGACTGTGGGAGAGAGGCGGGGGAGGAGTTGGGCACGGAGGGCGTGTGTACTTTTAGTACAATAAACTCGTAGGGTTTACTGCCATGGAGCCAATGACCCTCTGTTTTGAACCAGTTTGGCAATAAAGCCACGGCTACCTATACATGTTCGCAAAGAGGGAGATAAAAAGCGAGCAACACACACACGCGCACACGCACACTCACACACACAGTGAGAGGGGAGGACAGGGCGGGAGGACGAGAGAGCGAAAGAGAGAAAGAAAGTTTGTATCGTACAAGTCCCAAGTTGGCGTTTCTCCCTCTCTCTCTCTCTCTCTTTGGCGCAAAGCGTATCCACACGACGCGCTCGCACCCGGTCATATTTTTTTAACATTTTTTTCTCTCTCTTTACTGAACGTTTGGTGAGGGGGGGAGGGGGTGCTTTAATAATTGCCGCAGACGGCCTTGGCCTCGGCGTGCTTTTGTTTGTGTGACTGCGCGCAGCACGGATGGCACGGCGAGGAGGAGAGTAAGGGGGGGGGGGGCTCATTTCATTACATAAGGATACGAATATATAAAGTGACGACGAAAAATGTAATGAAACGTAACGGAAGTTTTCTCTAAACCTCATTCCGCGTAGCACATAGTGTGTGGCAATACCAGCCCTCTGTCACGTCCCAGCGGACGGCTGCGCGTTGGCGCGGCGCTGCTGCGGGGTGCGGGCCGCCCGAGCGGGTGCGGGCCGCCCGAGCGGGTGCGGGCCGCCCGAGCGGGTGCGGGCCGCCCGAGCCCAGGCCGCCCGCTCAACAGCGCTGTGCGGCGGGTCGGTATCCGCGCGGTGCAAGGCGCTAGCCGCCC